TCTCTCTTTCCCTATCTCTCTCTTTCCCTCCATCTCTGTCTCTCCCTGCCTCCCTCCCTCTCTCTGCCTCTTTCTCTCTTTCTAATTGTCCGTCTCTTTTACAATAGTGCCCCCTGCTGCTGAGTCTGTCTCTGACCCAGATTGTCTTCATTTTCCTCGGAAGGTCGTTGTTGCGTGGCTGGGTTTTGGTGTCAGCCCCAGGGCAGAGAGAGAGAGAGAGAGAGACAGTGCAATGCCTGTTACCCATCTCTTCCACAGCCGCTGTCAGGGGATTTACTGTTTACCCTGCTCCAAAACCCCCACCCCTTCTCTGCACATCCCATCCCCAGCGAGATTACCCTCCCCCTCACCTCACTGCCTGGATTCCCGCGATTAGGAATTTTGAGGGGGTGGGGGTTGGGAAGGGGGTCCTTGCACCAGCAGCTATTACCCCCTCAGTGGCTCAGCATATGGCTGGATCTGCAAGACCCTGAAGACGAGGTCTGTGTCCCCAGATTGGTTGGGGGTGGGCATTGGCACAGCCTCATTGGCATGGGGGCTGGTGGGGGTAGGGCACATAGAGGCAAATTCTCCAGCTGTCCAACGAGGCCCCAGACGCACAGGAGGATTCCACCCTGTCCAGCATTTTCTGTTCTACATTGTCTTGTCCCGCCCCCAATCCACTGACTGTCCATCTCTCTCATCCGTTCTCTTCCCCGTTCACTGTCATCCCCTCTTTCTGCTCTCCCCTTTCTCTGCATTTGGTCTTCTGTCCTAAAACCATGACAGCAGAATGAGGCCATTCAGCCCTTGTGTTTTGCTGTATCATTCAGTTTGATCACAGCTGATCTCTGACATCAACTCCATTAACCTGCCCGATATCCCTAATTATATTTTATTGATTCCCGGGATGTGGGGGTCACTGGCAGGGCCCAGCGTTTATTACCCGTCCCTAGTTGCCCCCTTGAGAAGGTGGTGGTGAGCTGCGTCCTTGAACCACTGCAGTCCATGTGCTGTGGGTTGACACACAATGCCCTTAGGGAGGGAATTCCAGGATTTTGTCCCAGCGACGCTGAAGGAATGGCGATATATTTCCAAGTCAGGATGGTGAGTGGAGGGGAACTTGCAGGGGGTGGTGTTCCCATGTATCTGCTGCCCTCGTCCTTCTAGATGGAAGTGGGTCGTGGGTTTGGAAGGTGCTGCCTGAGGATCTTTGGTGAGTTTCTGCAGCGCATCTTGTAGATGGTACACACTGCTGTTACTGAGCGTCGGTGGGGGAGGGAGTGGGATGTTTGTGGATGTGGTGCCAATCAAATGGGGGCTGCTTTGTCCTGGATGGTGTCGAGCTGCTTGAGTGATGTTGGAGCTGCCCCCATCCAGGCAAACATAGAACATATACCAGTACAGCACAGCATAGGCCCTTTGGCCCACGATGTTGCGCTGACCTATTATCCTACTCTAAGATCAAACTACCCTGCATACCCTACATTTTACTGTCATAAAAATGGGGAGTGGGGAGTATTCCCTCACACTCCTGGCTTGTGCCTTGTAGGTGGTGGGACAGGCTTTGGGGAGTCAGGACGGGAGTTACTCGCTGCAGGATTCCCAGCCTCTGGCCCGCTTTTGTGGCCACTGTATTGATATGGCGAGACCATTTCAGTTTCTGGTCAATGGTAACCCCCAGGATGTGGATACTTTTTAATTCTCTTATTGCTTTATAAGACATTTCTTCAGTCCTCCCTCCACCTCTCTCTGTCTTTCTTTCCTCTTTTTCTGTCCCTCTCCTCTATTCCTCTCACCATCACATCTCCCTCGCCCTCTCTCCCTCACCTTTTCCAGGTGATGTTTATTGTTGGAGTTTACATGATTTCATTACGTTTAACCCTGGAACATTTAGGTCTGTTTTGCTCTTCCCTTTGCAGAGTGAAGAATTTGACATTTACACGTTGTACTGCATGAACTACCCCAAGTAAGTGATCCACAGGCCGAGAACGAGGAGATAAAACTGCAGCGAAACCCTTCACCCTTTCGAGAGAAAGTGATTGATCTGAATGACTGTTGGAATTGGAAAGCGTTTTGCCTGAGTTAGAAGTTAGTGAAGTGTCTGTGTGGAGCAGCTCTCTCCCTGTTACTGGTTCAGAGCTCAGTTCTGACTCAGTAAGAACACAGGAAACAGGAGCAGTTCCCATGGTAACCGAGTCACTGCTGATCGCCTGGTAACTAGATCAGGACTGGTCGCTTAGGCCGAGGCTTGTTTCTCGGTGACCAGGCCGAGGCTTGTTTCTCAGTGACTAGGCCGAGGCTTGTTTCCCGGTGACCGGGCCGAGGCTTGTTTCCCGGTGACCAGGCCAAGGCTTGCTTCTCGGTGACCAGGCCGAGGCTTGCTTCCCGGTGACCAGGTCGAGGCTTGTTTCTCGGTGACCAGGCCGAGGCTTGTTTCCCGGTGACCAGGCCGAGGCTTGTTTCCCGGTGAC